ACAATGGAACTTAAAGGAATACTTCACCCACAAAATGATCATTTGTATATCAGTTACTCACCCCGTGTTAAGTTGAATTCTTTATGAAAACTTCCCTTTTTTTGTATCCCTCCATGGTGAATGAAGAATCCTAACATCTTTAGTGTTTGTTGGACCCATCCACTGCCACTCCCACCCACCCTATGCGGACTTTCGACACTTAACTTTCATTCTTGTTCCGCTGCGTTTCCCCCTGACGCTGCCGAGCACCATTATACTCTAACATAGTAACATGCCAACGGTAAAGGACAGCTTTTTTCATCAGTTTCTGATGCCGCAAGTCACTGCCCAAGCGCTGGATTCAGAGTGAGACCTGGTTGTACTCGCGGGTGGAAGTGTTTTATATTGTAACGTGTAATGATCGCTGCCTACCTGTGGGTTAAATAGTGATGTCACGTCTGCTTTGGGTGAGTCGTTGTTTTACTTTTGATGGGAGAAGACGCTAGTCCGCACATGTGCCAGCTTTTTTGTGTTAGAAGTCTCTTTTTAGTTGCTGAAGCCGTGACCTGTACCATCACAACGTCTGCCCTTAATAAAACTACAGCTGAGGTGAGAAGTATTTCGTCTGGTGTTCATTTTTACCTGTAAAACGACTCCCCGGAGATCTCCCACATCTCTACAAACGCTTAGAAAATGCACGTGTTTGGGAAGTGCTGAGCATAAGTTGTTTGAGAGTTTGTAATCAAATGTTTAGCTCTTGGTAATCGTGGACCCCTATGACTTCAATTCATCAAGAATTTTCTCTGTTTTTGGATTCTTCGTTCACCCTGAAGGTGTGCAAGATAAACAAAGTTTTCTTCACGAATTCAGGAAAACACTGGCAGGTAACTGATATACAAATGATCATTTTTTTGGAAAAAGTATAGCTTAAAAGGTTTTACTGGCAGTGCGGAGACGCCTGAGAAATATGGTTTCAATTAATTCTACAGCTTCTTTTTAATATGAAACACTTCAAATATCAAATATCATGCAAATATCTTTGCATGGGGTCTAATTTCACACGGTGGTGCAAGGCCTTTTCAATCTCCTACTCCACTGTAAGAAGTTTGCTTCAAAAAACGGCACAAACACAACTTCCCTGAAAGCACGCTTCATGTCCACTCCACCCAAATGACACAGCAGCAAAACTTAACTCTTTAGCTAGAAATACTCCCTCTGCGGCCTTGGATTTGAGACAGAAACACAGACTGACAAGCCTGTTACATAAAACATAAAGGAATTACCACCTGCAGTGATGCCATACAGCCAAGCTGACTGAAGTGCAGATTCAAGGAGAATCAGAAAGTGATGTTTCAGGCTGATTTTCTGTCTCTTTGGTGTGGATTTCTTTGAGTGAGCAGAGACTCCCCTGCTGCGCTCTCACATTGCAGCAATTTGTATGTTTGTTTTTTTAAAACACACTATTAGATCACGTTGTGAGACAATGTCTGGATATTAGTACTTGCCTGAAACACTTTAAACGACCTCTCCATCCTTCCTCTGCCACCCCTTCAACTGTCCTTCCCCCCACCTCCCCTTGAGGCTTCATCAACAGCGGCTTCGCCCTTCAGGAGAGCTGAAGAGGAAGGAAGTAGGACAGGAGGAGGAGCAGTGAGAGGCTGCCAGCGGGATGAGAGGAGAGCGAAGGAAGGCGTGCACTGACAGAGGCTGCATGTGGTGATCAGGGAAAGCAAAGAGATGCTGCAGAGTGGTGGAGGTGGAGGTGGTGGTGGTGGTGTATCACTGCTCATCTAGGAACAATGTGAGTGTGGAGCAGGCAGGAGATGCTTTGTGGAGAAAGAAACCGAGAGACAGACGGCACGGGAAGATAGAGCGAGAGTGACTGACACTCCTCTCACACCTCTATGAGCAGCCACATCCTAATACAAGCTAATCCCTCTATCAGCTTCTCACCTCACCTGGGCCTATCGCGCCAACAGCAGCGCTCTGACAAAATGGAAGACCACTTTCCGAGATACACTCAGTTATTTTAGCTCAGCCGGACCGGCACCGTGGAGCTCAAATCGCATGCAGCTAAGTATTTGGTCAGCACTGTCACTGTCCTGTCACTCACACAGCTCCTGCTGACTTCCCTTTCTTACCCAAGCAGCATGTCACAAACTGAGCACTGATTACTGATTCACAGGGTGTTCATAAGGACTGAGACAAACAGCTGGACTGTGACTGTTGTCACACAGCTGTATATCGTAATGGAATTTGCAGCAGCGTGATGTGACTGTGAGTTTTTGTTATCAGACTGCGTTTAATGATTATTTGGGGATGAAATAGACTTTAATCGAACTTATTGTTTGTTTTAATTATTGATTCAGTCTCAACAATTTCTCAAGGTGACCCACCTACCAACACAGGGTGTCTCCGGGTATTAGACACTTAAATTTAATGCTTTTTACGACCTTTTCTAGATCATTTTTTAAGCAAATTTAAGACTGATTTTTGGACAAATTATTTTCTTATATTCGAACATTGCAGGTTAGCATAAAGGTAAGTGTGTGGTTCCGTGCAGAGGCAGGCTTTAATATAGGAACATGGTTATTAGAGTGAGTTAGGTTGATCCACATGTAAGGTAAGTGGAAGTAGTAAAAAGACAGTATGAGGTTCAGTGGTGGGTTTAGAGACTCAGTTTCACACAGAGGAGTCTGACTCATTCTGACAAAAATAAATTAAAAGATGGATAAAATAAATTACATAAAATGTTTAAATTTTGCAAATTAAAATCTGATCATTTTTAAGGCCTGATATTTCAAAAAAATGAATATAAGATATTTTAAGACATTTTAAGGACCTACAGAAACCATGTAATGGTCCCAAATCCAAAAATATTTAGTTTACAATGATATAAAGGGAGAAAAAAAATCTGAAAAGCTGGAAACATCACACATTTTGCATTTTTGCTTTGAAAAATGATTCAAAAGATTAACAGATTATCAAAATATTTGCAAATAAATTTTCAGATTGACTAATGGATAAATGAACAAATCATTTCAGCTATAGCATCAACATTTGAGTAGGGCTGGGTATTGTTTTAAACATTACGACACCAGTATCTTTAAAGTGATGCAGATTCCAAGAGAGTACTTCATCTGATACCTTTTTTTACCATTAAGTATGCCATGCTCAATGTCACCACACCAGACTGTAAGGGTTGTGCAGCTGCAGTAGTGGACCAATCACACGTCGCATTACATCAGAGAATGCTTGCAGTGAGTGACTGCGAATAAAACCATACAAATAGTCAATTTTTTCAAAATCTGGCTACAAAAAGGATCCAATACAGGTATTCCTTTACTGTAGAATTTTACTACTTGGGTTATTATGTTTGATACCTTAAAAGGCGTCAAATACCGATCCATAGTCCAAATTATGATGCAGAGCATCACAAGCAAAGTAAATCCTTGCATCATGAACTCTAATGTATTTATATCTTCTTCTATATCACTATACCGATAATATTCACATAGAATATTATACTCTGCGCGTATATCTGTGTTGATATTTCTTATATTAAATGTTGTTATGTCCAGGGGGATATTTCACAGCCTAGACAGGACACTGCAGTCCATCAGGAGCAAAACCTCAAGCCACGAAAAACCCGTTACATTAATGCACATCTATGATCCTAGTACATTGCACTTATTTGCGATACTGAGAACTTTGGACATTCCCTGATTGATATTCTTGCACATCCTGCACAAAACAGTTCAGCTTTCTCATTCTGAAACAGCTATATTTGACATGTTTGTTCTGTTACAGGATTGTGTTTGAAGTGAGTTCTTGACTGTTGCAGTACTACTTTCATGTCCTCTTAATATGTAACTGGATGTTTAATGTATGCAGCAAATTCAGTTCAATTTTATTTAAAAGCCCCAATATCAGATATCAGGGCTTTGCAGCATACGACATCTCTCTGCCATTGGACCCTCGCAGCAGATAAGGTAAAATTCCCCCCAAAAAACCCTTTAACAGGAAACAAACAGAGCAAAGCAAATTCCTTGTGAGTGAAAACCTACTTATTCTGATTTCAGGAAGACTGCAGAAGCTGCCACAGCAAAGGAGTGAAATTATCTTAAAAATGTGATATAGCCAACTGAACATGTTTGCGGGTTTTGTCTTTAAACTCCATGAATGCCTACAAAATCTGCTCTATCTATTTCTACGCAGATCAAAGTTTCAATGGCAGAAGCTGTGAGACATAATCCTCGGTGCACCGAGCTGACAACGCTGGAGGAAAGGATTCACACATTGTTAATAAAATCTGCCAACTGCTTCCCTTACAAACACATCAGCATCACAACAATGTGTGTGTGAGTCCTTAAAACTGGTCTACTGTGCTTAAAGTATTTTAAAAAGGACCAGCAGGTTGAAGTTATATCCACAGTCACTCATAAAGTAATGAGTGCAAATCAGAAAACCTCCCAGGTCAGGATATATTAGCATCTTTGTGAGCATAATTCAAATTTCTGCTCCTTTTAGAGAATCCTATTCACTATAACTAACATTAATATATTTTAGGCAACACTATGAGTATGCTGTGTGTGTAAACTGAGTGGAGGCGGTTAACCACACAACACAAGCCATTTAATTCACAAAACAACATGAGAGGAGTGTGTGTGGTGTTCAATGTCCCGCAGCCCGGACACACGGAGGAAATAAAGAAGCAGCAGCTGGTCACAGTGAAGCAGCGGAAATCGACGAGTTATAAAACAGCACCATCTGCAAAGCGAGGAGACGCTGCCCAGCGAGAACACCGTCTCCGGTACCGTGCAGCTCTCTGCTAATGAAGCGGCCCCGTTTCGCTCCAATAAACTGACCTCGGGATGAATATATGAGACAGACACAACAAGAAGCTAACGTAAACACCGCCTTAATGCGCTCATACAGGATTAATGAAGCCAGAGAGGAAGAAGAAGAAGACCGTTATTATCGCTGCCTCCAACAACGTGCGTCTTTTGGGAAACTCTTACCTTTCCTGTTGTCTTTCGCCTCGCCGGGTATTTAGTGTGTCTTCTGGGTGCTGATGTGGAGTCTTCTGTCCCTCCTCTTCAGCGTTAGCTAGCCCCGCTGCCTCTGCTCGGCTTGTGGTGCTGAAGTGGACAGCGCACTGAGGAGAGCTGGGGACAAAAACCCACACACACACACTGCGCCTGTGCCGGAGCCGCCCGCAGCACAGCGCCCTCTGTCGGAGCGGAGGAGCGCCCGCAGCCTGCAGCCTGCAGCCACATGGAGCCAAGCGCACTGAGAGAGCGTCACCTAGCGTCGGGATTCACAACCTTTCTCTGTGTGACACACCACAGCAAGGAAGTTCACTTTCTGTTATCATTTTAAAGGCAAATCCTGAGACACAATAAAATTTCCACCACAAATTCACCTGCGTCCACGGTGCATGATGGGAAAAGAACTCCACACCAGCAACACTTGCAGCATACATAACACGTTTGGCGTGTGGCCTTCCATCCTTACAGAGAACTTTTTAACAGGGTGGAGCAGGAAAACAACCAGTTATATACATCAGCTCCACCCACACCAAGATGGGCTGGATGTTTGGTCATGTGGCTTCAGGCCAATCACATTCTTAAAATGGCGGAGGGGTACTACTGTAAAACTTCAAATTAAAGTCTAGTCCCAGTTAAATTCCCAGTTAGTTTGACTACCCTGGTGTGGCTACACATTTTGACACATAAACACCTGTTACAATTAGACGAGCAGGTCATTTTTAAGGAAGTTCTTTGGATGTATACAGCTGGGTTGGGTGGCACGGTGGTCTAGTGGTTAGCACTGTCGCCTCACAGCAAGAGGGTTCCTGGTAAAATCCCAAAAGGGAGCCCTTCTGTGTGGCGTTTGCATGTTCTCACCATGTCAGCGTGTGTTTTCTCCAGGTACTCCAGCTTCCTCCCACAGTCCAAAGACATGCAGGTTAATTGGTGACTCTAAATTGTCCTGTAGGTGTGAATGTGAGTGTGAATGGTTGTCTGTCTCTGTGTGTCAGCCCTGTGATAGTCTGCTTGGTAAATAAGAGACAAAAATAAAGAGGTGACTCCTTAGCCCTGAAGCTATCATAAAGTCAGAATATGTATCCATTCCTTGATAACCTGGTAAGTTGTTCATATTCCATTAGTCCCTAAGGGTCCACCAATCAAAATAGTCTTAACAGTTCTTCATAAAAACAAAACCAAGTTGTGAAAATTGTTTTAACAAGATAAAGTGGTGCTGTGTCGGTATGCCAGGTGCTGTAATCCTCGGGGCCTTAAAGCAAGTGTCCTAACTCTGATGTGCTGTCTCTCAGAGCTAGATCAAATGAATGATTCATACTTGATACGTTATTCAAAGTCTAGTTTTTAAACAAGTAATATTCATACTGGTTTAAATAAACATTTTGATTGTGTTTCCAGAGTTGTTTACAGTGATTCCCAAACTTTTTCCTTAAGAGACCTCTTCTCTATTATTGAATGAAGTGATGACCCCTGAATGAATGACATATTTTTTTTTGGATATTTCATATGATATTAAATACAGGACAACTGCACCATAGCCCAAACTGTGAATTCAATATCTGCAGGAAGTTTGTGTAAACTAAATGGCTTAATTTCAGCAGATTATTTCCTGTGATTGTCGCATCAGAGATTAATTTTCCTCATATTTCTAGGACCTTATTTATATGATTATCTGTCTGTATTATATTTATGTTTTATTTCTAACAATCGTACATATTTTTGACAAGTTCTTTGCTTTTTTCCTCACTGATGCTTTGACATTGTTCTATGAGCTCTTTGTTTGTTTCAAAGGTCCAGTGTGTAAGATTTGGGGGGATTAAGTGTCAACGAGCAGTGAGGATTGAAGATTGCAACCAGCAGAAACTTCTCTACATTCATGCAGTGTTCATTGTTCAGGAGGTTTTTACCAGGAGCCCAATTATGCACAGAGGTCTTTTCCTCTCTAAAACAATCAGACCGGCTGATTTAAATCGGTACTTGGTGGGTGACATGGAAACGCTAAAACTAGAACCAGTGTTTGGATTGTTCTGTTCTGGGCTACTGTTTCTGCCAATATATCCTACACACTGGACCTTTAAGAAATTTGGGGGAAAAAAATTGGGCAGTGTTTCCCAGCCTTTTTCCTCAAGGGACCTCTTTTCTATCATTGTGTAAACTGATGACCCCTGATATTCAATGGATAACAGTAACAGTAGAGAACAACTGATAAACTGCACAATTACTCCAAAACTGAGATGAACTTTTCTGATCTATTTAGGAACTTTTTATATGATTCCCATGAGCGGATTATGAGATAGTGGGCCCCTGGGCACAGATATGCACAAGGCCCCACCACCTCTCCTACAGAGGGGAAGACAAACAGACCTTGTCATGATATTGCTTCTTTTTTGTTGCTGTTGTTTGTTGTTTGCACCTCTTCCAAGTCACTCTGCGTCCCTTTTAGATCATTTAGTTTCACTCTGATTTAATTTTGTTTTTTTTTTAATCGCTTTGGTCTCTTTGTAGTCATTTTGTGTCATTGTTTGGTTGTTTTGCATCTTTTGTGGTTATTTTGTGTCTCTTTGCAGTTCCATCGCATCCGACTGTGGTCTTTTAAAGCCTCTTCCTGGTCGTTACCTGTTGATGATGATGATTTTCTTGATGATCTTGTGACCGCAACTACCGAGTTCATCCCGTGATGCCATATTGCCCAAAAACACATTTTCCCATAAATTTACATAGGAAAAAAAGATGTCTGTAAATCAGTAGATTCATTTTTTTGAGCGTCACAATCCATGACTTGTTTCACAATCAGGATTTGATCCATTTGGTCCGATAAGATGTTGAAAGTCTAGAAAAGCTGCATGATTAAATAATTTCATCCCCATTCAAGTCATCAGAGGGCTAAACTGGAGGTTAGCCGCTGGGCTGGTGAAGTCTCTAGCGTGCTTGCCCCGGATGTCAATCTTTTTTGACTATATGTGCCACTGAGCAACTTTCATTGTATTGAACGCTGTATTGTAGGTTCTCTTCATACATCCATGCACACTTGACACATGGGAGAAGTTCTAACTGGTTGCTATGTGCAACCTCAGCGCTCTAGATGTTACTAAATCCTACACACCAGACCTTTAAGATCCACTTAATATTCTGAAATAACCCCTGTCACTTAAAGCTATTCAGGTTCTCTTCCTTGTTTCTAATACTGGCACAGTGTAAGGTAGGTGTGAGGTGAACTGAAGGCAGTAATATGAACAGTAAAGTTAACCTGAGATGTGAAAGGAATGAGAATAAATGCAGTCGTCAGTTGATGTAACCAAATTACTTAAATTAAACAGAATGATTTTGCGTCTGAGAAATAACTACATGTGTACAGAACATTATGCTTTCATTAGAATTTAAGCACAGATCACATGTAGCTCCTGTGATTTTTGGGTGAACTGGGATACATTCTTTCTGCAGCTGGTGAGTTTTATTGGAATGTGATTATGCATTATTAAAAGTCTCTGAGTCTTTTTCAATCTTTCCATCTGCCCTCCTCTGACTCGTGGTCTCCTGTGCGTTTCCACTGAGTGTTCGTCAGGGTCACATGGGGTGTACGTTGTCCCGGGTGGCAGGCTGTAAGGAGTGGTGCAGGGCAGCGGCAGCAGCGGGGTCGCCCTGGGTGACAGCGACGGTGGCCTGCTCCGGCAGGAGGCTGGGGTCTGTCAGGATGGCCGTGGTGGTACTCAGGAGGCGGAGTGAACTCAGAACCACTGAGGGGGCACACAGAGAAACACAGATTACAGATAATGTGACATAGCAGCTGGAAACTTATGGAATGATCGCAGTACTATCAAACTATACGTTTAGAGTAGTGGTTCTCAACTGGTGGGTCGGGACCCAAAAGTGGGCGGCGGGGTCATTTTGAATGTAGAGTTTGGGATTCACAGATCTTTTGTGAAATATTGTCACTTTTTTTCTCAAAATTTTACAACTTTTTTCTAAAAATTTGATGACCTTTTCTTAGTTTTGCGATTTTTGTCTCAAAATTGAATGATTATTTCTCAATACTTTGACTTTTTTCAAAATTGTATGATTTTTCCTTGAAATCGTACTTTTTTCTCAAAATTTTATGATTTCTTTTTCAAAATATTACGACTTTTTTCTAAAAAATTTTTGCAAAATATTGCAGTTTTGTTCATGTAATTTTACAACTTCTTTTCTAAAAATATTTTCTAGAAATTCTCAAAATGTTAGTCTGTATATTACATACAATAGTCAATGCAAAGATGATGAACAGACACGAATACGCGCCAAAAGACTACTGTATTTCATGAAAAAAGCCATAAAATTTCATGGAGGTGTCTGTGAAATAGATTTGAGCGGAGAGTCAAAAATTTGGGTCACGACTTAATGACTGAGCAAAAATGTGGGTCCTGAGGATAGACCAGTTGAGGAGAACCACTGGTTTAGAGGAAGCAGCTGGACTCACTGGGTCTTAGGGCAGGCAGGGAACAGTGTTGGTCCAGCCAGGACAGAGTGGACCGACACAGGTCCTCCACACTGGCAGTGGACACCATTCCATTATAGGATTCAAACAGCGGCTCGATGATGATACTGAACTGACAGTGAGTTGAGGAAAAATGTCAATGTGACTCATCAGAGTTCTTGTTTTTCTAACGTTACTGAATTGATAATGAAGCATTGCACAGTGACTTAAATTACAGTCCTCCTTCCTCTGTTTATCACTAGAATAAATGCTGCCATTCTATGTTTCTACAAACCATGGATATGTTAGGTTTGCACATTATTATGTAGCGAATACATTGAAACTTTACATCTAAACAACACTGTGGTTAATGTGTAGTTAGGTTTAGGCACATAAACACTTGGTTAAGGTTAGGAAAAGATCATGTTTTGGCTGATATACTTGTTTTTCAGGGCACAACCCCAGCAGGAAATGCAGTGATGTCTCGGTAAAAAACAGCCACATTTTGTAGCACTATCCCCGCTTGAAAAACAATGACAGGTCACTACAAAACACGCATGTTTGGTGACTAAAAAGCTACAGGAAACACAGTGATGTCTTGCTAAAAAAAGAGCCAGTTTTGTTGTTTGTTGGTCTCAAACTGTGGCCTGCAGTTTGGCAGGCGTCTGG